CTGCTATAGATCAGGGCTTTCCAACTCCACTCCTCCAGAGCTGCTATGCTGCAGCTTTTAGTCCCATCTCTTCTCCATCAGACCTGAATGGGACGGCTGAATTCCCTCATCAGTCATTCAGCTCTGCAGAGGTCTGCTAAAAGGCTGTTTGTTTGATCCTGGTGTTTTGGAGGATAGATGCACCTGAAAGCTGCAGAAGCACTGCTGTAGAGGACTGGAGTTAGAGAGCTCTGCTCTAGAGAGCTTCTAATCAGTCTCCACTACAGCCTTGTCCCTCTGACTTTAAGTTTTCCTCATCTCCACTTTTAGACCTTTAGATTCTTAGTTTGACTTCCTGTGTTTTTGTCCTCGGCAGCGATGTCTCACTCCTTAGAGGTTTTGATGTGTCCCCAGCAGCGATGTCTCACTCCTTAGAGGTTTTGATGTGTCCCCAGCAGCGATGTCCAGCTGTTGCCTCAGTTTGGTTTGCCTCCTTGTGCTTCGCCTGTTTTCAACCAGGATTTATGTTTTTGTCCTTTTCTTTATGTTTTCTATTTGCCTCCATTCTGTTTTTGTTCTTGTAAAACCTTGTTCTTAAATCAACCCTTGAATTGTTTGGTTTGCCTTCTGTTACCTAGGAGATGGTCCAGCTCTGTCATTAGACGTAGAGCATGTTAGATTATTTCTGCTTTAACCAGCTCTCATGTTTTACAGCTTTTATAAATTGTAGCACGTCTCCAGTCTCTGCTCTGATGTCTAAAGGAAAATTCTTAAGATCTAAAACTTAAATTAACATCTAGCAGCGGGGTAAAGAAAAGCCATGGCGCAAGACGCTACCTGAGGCATCCTTAGACGTGCCAGACTCCTTAACATCTAAAAAACTAAATCTAGCAGCGGGGTAAAGAAAAGCCACAGCGCAAGACGCTACCTGAGGCATCCCTAGACCTGCCAGACTCCTTAACATCTAAAAAAACAAATCTAGCAGCGGGATAAAGAAAAGCCACAGTGCAAGACGCTACCTGAGGCATCCCTAGACCTGCCAGACTCCTTAACATCTAAAAAAACAAATCTAGCAGCGGGATAAAGAAAAGCCACAGCGCAAGACGCTACCTGAGGCATCCCTAGACCTGCCAGACTCCTTAACAAACTCCTTGATGAAATTCCTATTCCCTCCCACGACCAAACATCTTCGCAGGGGGCTCCTCTTCATCTTCGTCTTCCTCTCTTGTCCTCTTCCTGGAGACAGAGCCGGTCCCTGGAGGTTGGTGGTCTTCTTCGCCCTGTGGTGGAAGGTGGTCATCGTCTTCATCGTCATCGTCTTCATCGTCATCGTTGTCATCGTCTTCGTCGTCATCGTCTTCTGTCTCAGAGCTATCGCAGAGACCATACATGGAGCCTTCACTAGACCCATCAAGAGACTCACCATTAAAAGGCCAACCAACCTCATGATAATCCCCTATCCTGTCATACACCGAAAACCCAGGTACAATCTCTGCACCATCCGCAGTAAAATCTTCCTCATAGTCATTGGAGGAAAGTTCTATTCTGATAAGAAAAGGGAAATCAACCTGATCAATCATCAAGATGCGAAGCTCCAGGGGAGGATCAGATGGAAGCGGGGCGTCTGGAACAATGAGGAAAAAAATCATTAGACCAGGAACATTAA